GGGGGGGGGGGGGGAGAACTGAGAGGATCTGTGACAAAATTAAGGGATAGCTAGTTGATAGAAACTGACAGGAACTAGGAAGCAGAATATTTGAAGAAAAAGAGTCACGAGGAAACTTTGTTTCAGGATTAACAGGTTTGTTGTGGTCCAAGCACAGATATGGATGTCCAGGAAGGCATGCGGAGAAACTGAGCCCGCTTCACCTTTTCTCTGAGGGTAACTGGCAGGTGCACAGTCCCTGGCAGCCCGCGATAAACAACCTGACTATTGAGAAATGGCTTTTAGTAAACATACCACTATCTTGATCCAAAGTAATCCAGCATGCGTCAGTCTATGTTTATGTGTATGAAGGTATGGAGATTAATGAGCCTTAAAAGGCATCTGGCCAAATAGCTTTAGCGAGAAGAGAGAAACACTCTGCTGCTGCTGTATTTGAAACACTGTCACCATTAATCTCATCTTCACACATGGACCATAAGCACAAATACACAGCCTCACACACACAGCAGTTGTTTCCCACAACGTTTTTCTTAAAGGGATTCAGACAATTTGACGTGAAGTTTCCACTGAGCTAATACAAATAAAGTAAATTTAGGCTGATTGGCATCTCCTCTTAGCAGTCTAAATTACAGGCCAGGAACGGGCGACCATGTGCGCTGTTGGATTTCATTTCTAACCAAACACTACAAAGAGTAGATCAGTGTAATCAGCTGGTTTGGTGTTTGGCTTGAATATAAATCTACATACTCTCAGCCTGAGCCCACCATCGCACATCCTTGTATGCTACATCTCCTTCAACAGTGAGTAAAATAGAGACACACATTTACACGAATAAGACAAAATAGGTCCCTCTGTGACTGTCCACGGGGAGGAAGCAGATGGGTGCACGGCCAGTCAGAGTATTTTTATCATGTTCAGCCCCTCGGGGCCGAGGGACACATAACTCTCTATTTAATTTGCAGTGGGGTGTGCATGTTGTGTAGATGTCGTCACTCTATGTCGCACAATACGTTCTTTATCCAGAGCAGGAAATGCCCATGGATAATATCCAATAGTACAGCAGCAAGCAGCAATCTGAAGATTACTATAAACTCCTTGCCCAAAGTATAGACCTGTTGGTTATACAATCACATGACTCAGTACAACAGCAGCTGTTACTAATCAGTTAATCGTTGCAATACTGATGTCATGTCTACACTAACGTATTAATGTGACTAGCTAATGTCAGTGCTTCACATAATGGACCAGGCAGAGCGAGTGGGGTGGGCAGTTTTTGGAGAATCTCCCTCTTTCTTGCAAATGTTCTCTCTCCTTTCTGCCAGATTCCAGACAATCTGGCAGTGCACACTTTCCATTAATTTGAGTGAATATTTCCAGGGCCAGACATAAGTCTGTTTGTGCACAGAAGGATCTGTGTCTTTTTGACAAAAGCTGGTCTAATGTACACTTGTCTCAATCAGGGCTGGGTATCAAACCTCAACGCTTTTTTGGTAATACGAGAAATGTATCCTAAGCACAACAGAGTATGGAAAACGGACTGAATGTCTTGTCAGAATTGTAATCTTGTTTACTTCTCTGATCCGATCACTTCCTGATTGAAATCACAATTTTGCTAATTTTAGACTGTAATTTATTTAGGCAAAGGTCTTGTACAGCTGCTTGTGTTTAGACAACGTTTATGAACGTCTGAAATATAGAGTTTTGTAGAAAAACATGTTGATACTCCTCAAAGTAAGTAAATGAATACTGTTACTGATTACTGAACCTCAGCTATTACATCAGCACACGTATTGGAACAAGGCTAGTCTACAGTCATACTAGGGGACTGTATTGAGGCGCAGTGGTCCTTTGAGCTAAATGCACTTTAGACAATGACAATGTTAACATGCTGATATTTAGCAGGTTTATTGTTCTCCACATTAGATTGTTAAGTGTTAGTATGTTAACAGTTGCTAATTAGCACAAAGTACAGCTGAGGCTAGTTGGAATGTTATTAGGTCAAAAAATAAAGTACTGGTCAAAATAAATGTATACCTGGCGCTTTATGCTACGTTTAGCAAATTATCGAATCCTTTTTTTTTAGTTCTGAAGTAAGGTATAAACTGTGCAAAACATTTTTTTTCCTTTTATCTCTAAAAGTGAAACTGCGGTCTTTGCGCCTTTATACCACGATTCATTTTTCATCTCACCGATTTGAATCTGCACATATCTGTCTTTCGATATATCTTTACATTCCTAGCGAATATGTGTGGACACATGCCTGCACTGTGTGTCAGTGCATGAGATTACGAGACCATGTCTTTGACTGGGTGCTTGATACCTGAGTTGACTTGTAGTGTCCAATGTCAAGGTGACTCTCTAATGAGCAGGATTTAACAGTCAAAGTCACGCATGACCAGAACGGCTCTGAGCTGAGAAGAAGAACTTGTTAATGGGCAGTAGGGAAGCACATGTGCGGGATGGGAAAATAAAAACAGATACAAATCTTTCAAAATAAAAATAAAGACAAATTGGCAGTAAAACGGATTACAAAGCTAGAGAGGTACAGTGATGGGACTTCTGCAGTGACAGCAATAATGGACAGACACAGAAAGCAAAGAGAGGAATAGTAAAAATGGACAGAGGGAAAAAGAGAGGCAAAGACAGAGAAAGAGACTGGAATAAACCAGCAGAAAGCTGTGTGTCACGGTGGACTTCTGCACTGCAACGGCTCCTCAGTCCAACACAGCAGTCAAGTATTACTTGCCATGCAGATGTGTAACGTGTTTGTGCTGCGCTATGTGGAGGGAGAGGTGAGACTGTGCGGCAGTGTATGTACATGAATTTATGTGTACGTGAGACAGAGAGAGAAACAGAGAGAGGGGGAAATGGCAGAGGGAGTATGTGTGGTTGACTTGGTATGTGGGGTAGTGGGGGGAGGTCGCTGGTTTGACCGTTATAAATTCCACACCTTGAAAAACATATAGATTGCAAACAGCTCCCACAATATTTTCCTGGTTATTTCAATTATAGCTACCACATTAAAATAACAATAAAACAGGCAATTAAATATTCAGTTTGATTAATACATAAGGAGATATGTGAGCTCTTCGCATGCATTATAGATCCTCCAGGAGGTTTCCCAGGCGAGGTCACTCAACTTCTAGACCTCTGCCTTAGACTAAAAGCTGTCCATTTACCTCCTAAGACAAACCAATGCCTGTTGAAGATGCCTCTCTCCTGGCGCTCCACTGCCTTGTGGCCCCCCCCCCCAGTAAAAACTCCAGTGGAGTAACAGACCACACAGTGAGGTCAAGCCATACGAAAAGAGGAGGCTCCAGAACCAATCGCGGATGCTTTTGATCCCCAGCTGAAGAGGATGTCCAGTTTAAAAGGGCTGACAACGACATCTTTGACTGATGTTCCGCCTTAATGCGAGCCACAGATCAAAGGCTGAAGGTCAGCCCGAAAGGGTGAGGCACTTTTACTGCCTCTGCCCACACAGGCCGCGAATATGGACGTGTGATTGGTGATCATTTTGAGAAAGTTCACCAGAGAGCTTACTTTGTCTACACAGATTCAGTGAATAATTATGAACTGAGTGTATCCAGAAGTCCAAATTAGCACTCACACATTCCCAGAAACACACCCTGAGAGATAGTAATGGTGGTGACTGATTGAGACAGCTGCTAAACCACGTCGAGCCACAAAACACTTTCAGGAGAATAGATTACAGGCATCGCAAGTCATAACTGTTTGCGTGCATCTGGGAGTTAACCACAGCTCCAGTTCAACCCAAGACTCTCACATTGTTCCAGCTGGATGCAATAAAGTGACTGCTGTGTTAAGTGGTGTGTGGCAATCACTAGATAATGATGCAAACAGGTTTTATATGTATATATAAAAAAAAGTTGTGTCTTCGGTGCATATTTACAACTTTATAAAAATGTAATAATGCATTTACTGGACTACTTGGGCTACCCACAGCCAAAATGATCCAGCGCCATAAAAGAGCTCAGGAACAGATGATGTCTGTGAGTAGTGGGGTTGTGCCTCATTGATATACTGATGTCTTGATTTATGCTTTATTTTCCACTACGCTGACAGTTCAGGACTGCCTGTTCTGGAAAGTGTGTTATGTCTGCACCGAGGTATTATTTAACTGTGCTGCCAGTTTAAAAGTGTCTGGCTTCAATATATGGGTGAATGATAACTTTATTTTTTACGAGGTAAGCCATTAAAGTAAGCCATTTATAGGCTTCTCAATACTGAGGCATGTAGTCATGGATCATCTTCTGTCCTGTTATACCCTTTTACTCTTTCAAAACCAGATTCCTCCGTGAATACACAAAACAGCCAGTAAATCTCTCTTGAGCTGCTTTACAATTGGAGTGGCTTTTTTCTCTTGTCAGTGGATCAGGGTGTGCTATTTGTCTTTTGAATCTAAGTCGTCTGGCAGGGTTCTGCGTTTCATCCAGTAGCACTTTGGAGCAGCTCCGCCTGTGCGCTCTCAGTGAGAGGCGCATTGGCGCGGTTTTTCCCCACTTTATGACTTCTCCCTCCGCTGGATGCGTTCAAATCCTGATGAGGAACAGGTGAATCCGGATCCTCTAAGAGCCGCAGCCTCAACCTACACGTTGAGGTTGAACGACCCTCGTAAAAGACACTGTAAACACACACATCACACGTTGCGCAGCTGCAGGCCGTGGCACAAATTGAGAAATAGTACCCCACTTGTTGCAGTTTCCCCAAAGCGCACATCGGTTACTTCCACTTTCTGGACCTCCAAGCCTTCTCATTTTCTGGGATATTTGAGCAGTAGGGATTTGCAATGCAAATTAATAAAACACGGTGAGCTGACTGGTTAAACCGCATGGTGAAGCCTGAAATGGGATGGCTCATACAAACTAGGACCATTTTTAAAACTAAGTGATGGGATAGTTACAGAACTGAGTCCACCTTTTACGTAAAATGCAACTAAGTAAATGAACAATAAAGCATATGTGTGTCTTTATAAGCGGATCCTCATGGGCAACGTTGCCACTGAAATGTGTGGTTATTAACCTATCCATAAGCAGCTATTTGCAACCTAGTAGCTTAAATTAGAGAGTGCCCGTGTACACTTCGCTACAGTGAAGGTCTTCGGGTAGTTATTCTGAATTCAGAAACTATTAAATTCAACAGAGGGGCGATTTAACGTGAGTCTTGTCCACCTGCAGTCGTCATTCAACGTTGGTCACGAAACGCAGTAAAGGCGTCACAGTGTACGTTACTAACGGCAGGAAGACGCCTTCAAAAACGACCAAATGTGTCCTGCCCTCCTCACGGTGAGCAGTCCAGTGCACACAAGCAAGAAACCACGTACAGGTAAAACAAATAATAATAATAATAAAATGTGAAGCTACGACAACCACCCTTAAATGAGCATTCTAGCCTGTAAAACCTGAACCGACGACTGACATGGCGCGCACAGGTAAAAAAGGTAACGTCACTGCGCAAAGTACCGCCGCATAGCAGCCACTCCACTATCAGGCTCCATCCGTGACCACCGCACATACCTGCAGGGTCTGCGCGGCTCCTCTCCGATGGCGTCCTCTGCGGCAGGATAGGAGGAGGACTATCACATATTACAGAGTTGGCCAAAGGACGAGTGTAGTCCGGTGTAGTCCGGCGCGTTGTTAGCCTCTGGGTGTTACGGCCCCGCGGGTGGAGGTGGAAACGTCCCTCTATCGACACACACACACACACACACGGTACGGGGAGGTTGCGTTCAGCAGAGCTTGTACCGCTGCCAGCTCTCTCGCCATGAGCTAGTAAGGAGATGTACGCCCCCTCCAACCGCTCCATCTCTCTCCACATCGCTCCCTCCCTCTCCCGTTCACTCTCTCTCTCTCCCTCCCTCTCTCGTTCACTCTCTCTCTTTCTCTCTCTCTCTCTCTGTCCTCACAAGCGGATAAACGCGACTGCCCTCAGACCTGGCACGTCTGTTACGCAACAGCAGTTTCAGATTGAGCACCGTCGTCATTTCATCCATTTACTTATTTTTTTTTTTTTTTTTTTTTAAAGAGAGCAGCACGTTTAGGCAGTGGAAATACGACGACACTGGCATTGACATCATCACACAGCGTGCGGTGCTACTATCCAGGTTTTGCCCCCCCTGGCCCCCCCTCACATTATAGCTGAAAATAAGGTGCCATGTGCGCCAAGCTGGGTTGTTAAAGCTGGCCGTGGTGGTGTGAAAGGAGTGTCATGTGGAGACAGGTGAGGAGGCACCTGACATTTCTGGCACAGTGGTGGTGAAGGAGGGGGGGCAATAAGCCGGGAACAGAGCTGTGAAACCTTAGCTCTCCTCTCTCCTCTCCTGCCCTCCAACCAGGGTTTGCCAACCTGAGCCAAGATGATACTGTTTCCTCATGCTGCACCTTGGCTCGGTGCCTTCCCTTCACCCCCCCCACCACAATGATTGTCTCCGTCCTACACAAACACAACACTCTAGTTTGGACATGCCTTTGAGACTGGAGGTTTGCCCACATGTAGACACAAGTTGACATAACAGCAGTAACTGGAAGTGTCTCATCCTGGTTACCAGCAGTATAGCCATTTTATTCTGTATATTTAGCTATTTCTCACTTTCATTAGATTGTCCTGACGGTACAGTTGAGTCCTAAAATAACCTGTGCAGCTCAGAGGATTGTCCTAATGCCATTACATTACTACTGAGCCAGCAGGAGAGACACTGAAGGGTTTGGACAGGAGGAACAGGGACACTCTGAGATGGTAATCACATTGTTGCACATGGATTATGACTAATATTCTATAAGTGAAGGATAGAAGAATCTGGAATAGATTATGTAAAGTTCTCGCAAGAGATGTCATGTAGCTACTATACTATTAGCACGTGTAGGCATTATGTGTGTGTTTGCATGTGTGTGTGTACAAGAACCCCTTATCAACCCCTGGGTGCAGTGTTTATCATATAATTTGTTATCCAGTTATGTGCTGCTGTAATAAGATTACCGTAATCCTGTGTACCAGAGGGGACTCTGATTCATCTGACCTCCTCAAACAATATAAAAAGGCCCAGAGGAGTCTTTCTTCTTGCACATGTGCCCTTTTCTCTTGTCTAAATGCTTAAAGTGCGCTGTTTGAACTAAGGGTGAGTTCAGCAGGGTTTGAATTTTGTTGGTCTCATACCGCTTCACTGAATAAATTTAGACCTTTCTTTCAAAATGAATGCCCTGACATGAGGCGACTTCGTCCTCCTGTCCCAGTTTTCAACAGTGTGCCAAATTAGTCTTAAGGCGAGTGCTCAAACCCAGAGTTTTGTCAAGCAGTTTATAGTAAGTGGCTGCACATGATGACACAGAGAAGCCTCATCAAGTGTGGTCCTGCTCCTCAAGTGTAAACATACATTTTTCATCAGATTTTTTAAGATTTATAACTATCCCATTGACTATCTCTGTCCTGAGCGAGTGAAAAACAACATCTGTCATTTTTAATTAAACATTTTTCATTTTCCTTATAACCATACATAAAATAACCCAAGTGGTATATGTTTACACGTCCCACTAATCTTAAATTCAAGCAGGTCACCCCAGTAACTTACACATATTGACTGACAGCTCTTGATTCATATGGGGAGTTTTTAGCGGGCTTTAAATAAGGTGAGTATTTAAAGCTTGCCAAATGAACAAATTCTTAACAAGGAGGGAGTTCACAGCACTGACACTGAAATACACCAAATCCACACATGGAACTCATGCTACCCCACACCCATATATATACTGTGGATAGTGTTTCTAAACCATCTTTGTCCAGGAATGTGGTGAATACATACCACTTAGTCATTTGAATTGATCCTAGTAGGGGCTCTGAAACTTAACTCTGGAGCAGATGGAACTGTTGTGAGGATCTTATCAGACGGTAGAAAGTATTAATTTTCTCCACAAAATAAGCCTCTTTCATTAAGAACAGCCAAGACCTTCATATGTTAACGTCCATCCACACACATGTGAATCAAAAAAGCTTAAGATCTATAATACCTCTGCCAGCTCTGTGCTCTCAGTCTTTCTCTGTGTGGCTTTCCCCTCACCCTATGGTTGTCTAGACACCAAAGAATAATCTCCCCAACTCTGGGCCCCAAAGACAGACTTCCATGTGGGGACTGCCTTCCCCGTCTCTCAGGCTCCCCCACGGCTGCTTCCAAAAGCATTGGGTTTCACCACATCTATGGTGAATCAACAATATTCCCTTTAAATTTTATCCATCTTAGGTATTATATCAGATACAGTTATATAATACATCTGTTACTATTCAGGAATAATAACATCCATCATTTTAAGTACGAGACAACGCATGGATATGCATAGAGACCATTTTTGGGCTCACGGGGGAAGAGAAACCTACACAGAGACTGGGTATGGAAAAAAAAGATAATAATAATTATTATTTTTAATAAAGTGAATCCCTTTCACAAATATAGTTCTAACTTGAATGACAACATGATCATACTGTGAAAAAATATCAAGTTGTCAATCACCAGGGATTTACACATTTAACTGTGCATTTTGTTTATTTCTATTATTATTATTACCAATGTCTTACTTAACTGTTTATTACATACCCACTAACATACATTCCTATATTTTACATACTTGTAAATAACTGTTTGTACAAACAATGCAATTCAATACAATTGGATTATCTGTCTATCCTTCATAATTTCTGCATCATTGTGATTGTATTTCACTGGATTAGCCAAAGACAAAAAAGCTCAATGTGGTTGTTTAATCTATAACATGTGTTTCTAATGAGGAGACCAAACAAATAATGATGCAGAAAATGTACACTTTCTAGATATACTGTATTTCTATATGTCTATAAAGTTCAGTATACAGGGATTGGGGGTTTTGATCCACTCAAATGGCACACATATACTTGACAATAGGTCCCCCACATCTGTCTGACACAGCCACCATAACACCACCTTTCACATCATGTCAATCAGACAAATTCAGTCTTGCTGCTGCACATCTGGAAATAGAGGTCTTTACCTTTTGCTGGAGCTCCAACAAAACTGCCGCCCCCTGGTGCCTGCAGAAAGTAATGACATCCTCTTAAGAGAAAGTACACACCAGAGATGTCTGTTCAACTGAACACTTCCCGAGGCCATCACACAATCTCTTACATAACCAACAAGCCACTCTTGTGTTGTTTTAGTCTTTGTCTCAACATGCATGCACACATGGCCTTTTCTTTCAAATTCATGCACCTCCAGCACACTTTAACCTCTCTGTATTTAATTTTTCCCTCCTGTTCTCTCAAGTCTATTTTTACTCTGCTTTTCTTCCTCACTGTGCCTCTGCCCTAAAGCTGGGCCCCAGCTTCTGTCCAGCTCAACTGGAGTGGGGATGAAAGCTGACTCACATATTCATTAACACGCATGGCTGCACACACTAACCACAAATAAACAACTTCTACGGATGTAAGACATGCACATATATACACACACAGATGACGACATACATGATGCACCTGCCCGCTTACGCCAACGTGTCTTTCAAATTAGGGCAAGAAAGAGCTTAGATCGCCACGCATGCTGTTGCCACATTTCAGAATGACTTATCCCCATATATTTTTCTTCTTTTAAGTATTTTTTGGGGCTTTTTATTGCCTTTATGATAGTGACAGCTGAAGACAGGAAAGGGGGGTAGAGAAAGGGGATGACACGCAGCAAAGGGCCGCAATTTGAAACAAATTAAAATATTGTTCAGTCATTGCCATACAGGGACAGAAATAGGTCAACAACCCCAGGAGACACATCCAAGATGTCAACAGAGAAAGTCACACGGCCCTTCAGAAGTGACAGCAGATAACTGCAGTCCCTACTATAAAAAGACCAGCTGACACAGCCAACTAATGCCTATAGATAAACATACAGACACCATGCCACCCAGTCAAACTGCGCTTTATGATCCAACAGACAGACATACTATTTTGATGCAGGGAATGCACTGAAGAAATACAACACACCATTTTGGCGTCCTATGACCTTTTCAGACATGCATGCAGATGCCATGACATGTTGGTACATGGTGTAACAGTAACCACAGGGCTTCACAGAAAGTATTCACCCAGGGAAATAGTTACATTTATTCTCAAATTAATAGAAATAAAGCTGGCTAAAGCAAATGGCCCACTGTGTGATATTGTCTTGCAGAGTAATATCTTCCAATTCATACTGCCACCTAGGGGCCGCTTCTGGAAACAGTTAGCAGAAGTGAAAGCCAATATGACTGTGATGGTTTCTGTGCTTGATGACTGTGCTAATATGCACATTTTCTCTCAAAATACATACACAAAAAAGCATGTACGTTATTTTGTCTTTATTCTAAAAACGAAAGTGTGCCAGTGTGCTGCATTTGTACAGTAGTAGTGAAGTCAGGAAAGTAGACATAGTTAACCACATGAGCATGTAAATAATAACCCTGAGAATCATTTTACAATAATTTGTTTTATATCTAGAAAATTAATCTTCTTCTTCATCCGTTTCCTCTTTCTTCGCCTGCTTCAGTTGTGGCATTTCTTTCAGCTTTTGGAACCCCTTGAGGTCAGCACAGAACAACACCTAAACCAGATAAAGACACTGTGGTTATAGCAGTAAGAGACAGACACTCACAGACAGATACTGAATGATAACACTCACCGATTGTGCCCAACCAGCATAAGGACCCCACAGCTGTCTGAAAAAATCCCCTGTGTAGAAATATTGAATTTGACATTATGTTAACAATGAAAAAGAAACTATATTTAGTGTTTACAAGCAGTGTAGCACTGTAACCATACAGTATTACTGATGAGGTGCATGGATACTAACCAATTTCTCGGTTAAGTTTATCTGTGATGGTCTTTTGTCCTTTGCCAGAAGCATAGTTGTAGTCACGCTTAGCAATCTGCCACACGTGTGTGTCTATGGGCACGGCCTCTGTCTTATCCAGGGACATTAGACATACACAGTCTGCCACCTACAGAGAGACACATATAGCCTTAATTACATGTTACTGTGACAACTTCATTTTATTTCAGGAAGATATATAAGAGGCTAACAGGTTTTTTTCTACTCTACCTTGTTGCCCACACCAGGGAGAGTACGCAGAGCATCACGGGCCTGAAGATATGGGACACTGCGTAGACCTTCAAGCCACTGGAGCCCGTGGGTGTCCAAAATCTGCTTCGCACTCTTCTGAAGGAACTGAGCCCTGTACCCAAAACGAAGATCCCTGAGACATGCCTCTACGCTGTTGTCTGACGAATACAATGTAAAGAACAACACAGTTATGATGACAATATGTAGGCCTTTTCTGCTTGATAATTAACATTTAATTAACATTAACATTCATTAATCCTTAAAGGACTGATGAACATGAGTCTCAATCAGGCTACTCCATGGTTTAAGTATATTACTTTCTGTGTTGGTAAATGCCTCATAGTAGTAGGTAAACAGTTGTATGACATATCTAGGAACTTGAAGGTAGAAATAAATACAGGGTTTTAACATACATGTCATAGAACTTGGAGCAAAATGTATGTACCACTCAGATATCAACTTAAACCCAAACTGAACGTGGATTTGCACCACTGAACTGAGGACACTGCAACATAACTGAAGTTGAAAATATTGTTGCATTGGCCTACAAATAAAATAAAAAAGCAATGAAATTTAACCAAAAGCAAAAGTGAAGGATCGAATGTAATTGGACATCCAACAGATCCAGGTGTCCTGAGTCACAGCTGTAAACTCCGCACCACTCATACTAATGTTATTGAAAGATGACAAACAGGTCTGTGGGGGAAGAATATAGCACCTGCAAGTGCAGACAGGGAAGGAAAGTTGTAGTAAGAGGTTTGATCCAGTTGGCACAGTGGGGCACCCAGGGCCTGACACAGCCTCTCCACCATGCCGTGGATACGAGAGATGTGGTTGTTGGAGGTGCAAATTAAGGAAAACAGGCATTCAGTGGGGTCCTGACGCAACATCCGTACACCTGGAGGGAGACCAAACAAAATACTTAAGACAAATAGTGGCTCAGTCATTACTTACTTTGTAATAAGTGATATCATGCAGGTACAAGCACGCACACTGACCACTGAAGATGTATGCAATGCGCTTGAAATGGGGGTCTGCTGCTCCCAATTCCTTGTACAGGTCTCCCAGTTTCACATTCAGCTGGAAGTAATCTCTCAGCATCTCTTCCTCCTCAGTGTCCTGCACTGAAGTCACAGCCACCGGCTCCTCCTCCTCTTTCTTCAAAGCTCCTTTGAACTTCTTCCCTGACTTGTTTTCCATCTGGAGAGAAACACCAGCTCTCCTCTTCCTGTCACTTCCCTCCCCCTGCCATTCTTGGTTATTGTAAACATGGTACCAGAGACTGTCTTCTGTCTGAGTCAGGGTCCAAACACGTCCTCCCATCACTCCGGTCCAGTGGCCTTCTGCAGTTTCTCTCCAGCTGTGGGTTGAGATGCGTTAGTAGAAAGACACATATGAGGATCTAAAGTGTACTAGATCCGTCCTGTCGATCATGATGCTGACAGTGTGCGACCAACCTACCGGAAAGATTGTCCACAGGCAAGAGTGAGATCCAGACGCAGCTCTGACTTTGCACAGGCCAGAGATCTCCACATTTTTGCCCCCGACGACAGCACTGCATGTTTGGCCATAACAGTTACCTTGCTGTTTGTTTAGAGGTTAAAAGAAGCGTACACTGACCTGCCACAGTGCCCCGGTGTTAGAACTCATTGTGGTGGGATCCAGTGTTTGCGGCAGCGTATATCAAACCCTGAACACCCATGTTTTTAGTTCAGTGATTTCACGGAGAGCCACAACTTCACTTCCGGTTTAGGCAAATAACTTTCGCGGAGTTGTTTTAGCTAGCGTCGATAACGATGGACAACAAAGACCTAACAACGCGAAGCAAAGTTGGCCATATTTGAGAAGGAAAGTTTGGAAAAGTGCAACGTTTAGGCACTTGTAATTAAAAAGGTTATCTGAAATAAATACGAACTGATAATGTTTCTAATTAATGTTTAATAAATACCAAACTGTCAATCTGACGCAACATTACACAGATTCCGGTAGCCCCGCCCATACTGATGTCAACACAACTGTTGATTGGCTCCCTGGCTCGTAGTGGGCGGTCACTTCAAGCAAGCTCAATCGCGATTGGTCAATGCAATCCGAGCCCGCGGTGTCCTATTGGTGATTTTGTCAGTAGCTCATTTTGGTCTTTGAGGTGTACAGGAAGTCGCCCCTCCCTCCCTCCGCGAAGGAAAGCCGTGTGCGCTGGTAGCGTGTGTGTGGCTCCGATATAGCCGGGAAAAATGGCGGATATGTTGGCACTTTTCACGTCCATTGGGCTCAGTGAGCAGAAAGCGAAGGAAACGCTGAAGAACGAAGCTCTCAGTTCTGCCCTGAAGGATGCAGTTGTTCAGGTACGAACCAGCGTATGTGGGGGAACTGAATTTCCTGGAGGGACAGCTGTGAAATGTGACATATGACTTGACATTCAGGTTTTCTTTTTTTTTTTCTTTCTTTTTTTAAGCTCACTTGTTGTATTCTCTCTCGATATTTCTTACTTTTTTGAAGCTGCTTTAGTTGTAGGTTCAGAGGTACCTACCGCTGGATACGTTTCTGAGAACTTCTGTGTAGTTGTGGCAGGGTCGCTATATTTTCATTTTCACATTCAGTGTGCAAAGTCCATCAAGATAGGGGTTTAACATGTCTGTATTAGCTTTAATACAGTTATTTGGCTCTTGACATGAACACATTTTGAAGGATAAAGCAAAGTATTTTTTGGGGGGGTATTTTCTCACAGGCTCAACGTGTCCGTGGGGCATCAGGAGTGGACAAAACCATGGGTACTTTGCTGTACAATATGGCATCTCGCCTTAAAGACACGAAACGCCTGACATTCCTTTCGGACAACATAGCACAGTGCAAAATCTGCACAGAGCTACAGCTGGCAGGTAAGACATGTTGCAGCCCGACTGATCACTGCAATGCTTTACCAAAACTCAAACATCTAATAAATCTAAATGACATATTTTAACATTGATCTTTAATAATTTGTCCGGACTGATTTCTAACACAAGAAAACAAATTTCTTACACAAAATAACAGTGTCTTGCATATCCAAATGACCATTAAATACTTTATGTCGACATGAAAGGCATCTGAATCTGGAATACACCACGCTTGATGAATATAAAACATAAAGTAAAACGTCCCGGGACACCACACCTAATGCAAGTTCTGAAAGAGGCTGGGGACAATGACGGCATTGAGGGCAAAAGGAGAATGAATGAGTGCCAGACTGATTATATGCACTGACTAAATGGTAGGTTTGTTGACATGAATGATTGGAGAAAATGTGTTTGTTTGTTTTTTGCAGCCGCACTGGACTTTGTAAAGAGTCATCCTCAGGAGCCCATCGACCAGAAGGCGTTCGAAGACGCATGTGGAGTTGGTGTCGTCATAACACCGGAGCAGATTGAAGATGCTGTAAGTGCACGTGTGTCTGTTTGTTTTTTTTTACAAGCTTTAACGGGGGTATGTTCAGTGACGGTGGAATGTTGTACAGGTGGAGTCGGTGATCAAGAAGCACAAGGAACTGCTGTTAAAGGAGAGGTATCGCTTCAACATGGGACTGCTAATGGGTATGATCTCACACTTGATTACTGAAATACTTTTGAAACCATGAAAGCCTAACAGACTGACAGAATGTCTCACTGAGCTTTTGTGTCTGTTGCAGGAGAGGCACGTACTGCCTTAAAATGGGCAGATGGAAAAGTCATCAAAAATGAGGTGGACATGCAGGTACGTTTTTAAAAAGAGAATATCTTTAGACATTGTATATCTGTCATGGTTTCTCCCACTGTATATCGTAACTAACTCTGGTTTTGGTTTAATAGGTCCTACACCTATTAGGACCCAAGACAGAGGCTGACCTGGAGAAGAAACCTAAGGTAACACATGTCACATTATTTTAAGAAACAGTTTAACATTTATTCACTTTCTCTCTGCACCCAGCCAAGAAATAGAATATAGAGACACACAACCCCCTGTAAAATCACCACTTATAGGTGCTGGTAGGCAGATTTTGTTATCTTTGGACAGAGTCAGGCTAGTGGTTTCCCCATGTTTCCAGTCTTGCTGAGCTAAGCCAACCAGCTGCTGGTTAACTTTATTGTCCAAAATGTCTAACCATTCCTTTAATCGCTGCACTGTTTTCATCTGTGGTTAATATCTAATTATTTTGCAGCCCCAGAAAGCTAAAGTTGCAGAGAATGAGGCAAAGGTGAATAAAGACGAGGTGGCTGTGAATGGTAAGAAGCAGACAGAAGTGAATTTAATCGTTTATCTTTTGTGTTTTCTTAAACTTTGCTTGTTGGTTGTTCAGGTGAGGTGATGACTGGGGAGGGAAAGTCGCTAATGGAGCAGCTCAGAGGAGAAGCACTGAAGTTCCATAAACCAGGTGAGAAGGAACCACCTGAACAATAAGATGCAGTTGCGTCTCTGCTTGTTGCTCCAATTTAAAGGTTTTACTTACACATTATGTTGATCTTTCATCTTCCATCATACAGGAGAGAACTATAAAACCGAGGGCTATGTGATCACACCGAATACAATGGACTTGCTTAAAAAGCACCTGGAGATCACTGGTGGACAGGTATATGTGTTACTTTAACTTTTGGAGAAGAAAGCCTTTAACTTGAAAATTATGATGTATCTGATTATTGATATTTCACCCTTTCCATTTACAAATTCCTTTAGATCCGTACTCGTTTTCCTCCTGAGCCCAATGGCATCCTTCACATTGGACATGCCAAAGCTATCAACTTCAATTTTGGTTATGCAAAGGTACGAATCTCTCTGCATCCATCACCGCCACATTAGTTGTTTAAAACTCCCTGGTGCAGCTGTTTCCTTTAAACCCTGTCTTTTCCTGTAGGCAAACAACGGAATATGTTTCTTGAGGTATGACGACACAAATCCAGAGAAAGAAGAAGAAAAATATTTCACTGCTATTAAGGACATGGTGGAGTGGCTCGGTGAGTTTGACTCTGTTGATTCACACCTTTTGGGTTGGATGAAAGCTTACATCCACGAAGGTAGTTTCTCATCAATGTAACTGTTTTACACAGGGTACAAACCTTATGCTGTCACGCATGCATCAGACAACTTTCAGCAACTCTATGACCTTGCTGTGGATCTTGTTCGCAGGTGAGTGCAGAAACTATGTGTACGTGTTTTATTAATGTGCACAAGCTGGAATATGATGTTTGATTCTTCTCTTCCTTCAGGGGTCATGCGTATGTGTGTCACCAGAAGGGGGAGGAACTGAAGGGCCATAACGCTCCTCCTTCCCCCTGGAGAGACCGACCCGTCGAGGAGTCCCTGGTGTTGTTTGAGAGGATGAAGAAGGGCTTGTTTGCTGAGGGAGAAGCTACGCTCAGGATGAAGATGGTCATGGAGGACGGGAAGATGGACCCCGTGGCGTACCGAATCAAATACACACCACATCATCGGACAGGAGATGAATGGTATGAAAACCAGAAGTTTTTTAACTTGAATATAATATCTTTTTCACCACAAGCTGCGTTTTACTTACACTTGTTTCTTATATTTCTCTGCAGGTGCATCTACCCCACTTATGACTACACTCACTGTCTGTGTGACTCTATTGAAAATATCACACACTCACTCTGTACCAAAGAGTTCCAGGCCAGGTATAGATGATTGTTTGGTGATCTGTTGTGTCATAATCTAATGATACGAATGCTTTGTTAATGTTCACTTCCTTTATCGATTTTGTTACAGGCGGTCATCATATTTCTGGCTGTGTAACGCTCTGGATGTGTACTGCCCTGTTCAGTGGGAATATGGGCGATTAAATCTCACCTACACTGTTGTGTCCAAGAGGAAAATCATCAAACTGGTAGAGACCGGCGTTGTCAGGTAAAATAACCTTTTTCTTTTTGCCATTTGTTTCCAGTATGTTTTTAACTATTTATATTACAGTACAATAGTCTTGTAAATAATGGGCTATAAAAAACTTAAATGGATAGAAAGCATTTGTTCACCAGCTCCCAGAAACCTTTGTGTTAGAAGCAACCGATGAAGGATGAGTATTTTGCCCTACTACTAAACTATTAGGTTGGGTATTAGTCAGACGTTATTGATCCACGTGTGTCAATGTCATTATAAAATGCGGTCATTTACATTAATGAAGTTGTTACAGGGTGCTGAATCCCTGTAAGTAAGAAATATATAGGATGAGCAGGAGTACAGGGT